TTGTGGGGCGCCTGTGGTCCCAGCTACTTGGGAGGCAGAGGCAAGAGACTCGCTTGAGCCCAGGAGTTGGAGGTTGCTATGAGCTGTAATGCCACGGCACTCTACCCAGGGGGACAGCTTGAGGCTCTGTCTCAAAAAAAAAAAGAAAGAAGGACAAATGAATGGAGAATGGGCTCAGGCTGTGTTTGGGGCCCTCTGGCTGCAGGGGAGGAAGAAAGAGAGGATGACAAGAGCCATGGGTGAAGCAGGCAGAGCTGGGGGAGTGGTGAAGCCATTTAGCGATATGTAATCGTATAATGAGAAAGCAGGCTTTGTGGCATAACATCTCCCTTCATTGAGCTCACTTGTATGCGAGGAGGTGGGGGGAATGGGCTTTCCTATGTGACAGTGAGAACTCAGCTCAGCAGTTAGCACTGCTCACCGTAGTATAAGCTAGGGGTGCCCCACCCAGGTCCTAGCTGGTGCTTCCACCCCTACCCCTACACCCCGTTGCTGTGAGGATTGGCTGATGTTAACTCACGGCCCCTCCTTATCCTGGGAATCGTCTTCCAGCAAATGGGAGTCATGACTTCCGGAAAGCAATCTGGCCCAGACATAACAAATCTCAGGCCTCTGGCACGAAGCGGGCATTGACTGTGTGGTGGACATGGAGTGTCCAGAGCTCTCTGGGAGGATCAGCGTGAAGTCAGTCTCCAGCTGAGCCCACCTCCTTGCTTGGCTTTCCCCCCTTGACTATCCTGCTCCCCTCGGTTCCCTCCTGGTCCTCTCATCCAATGGACCACTTATTTAAGAATACTTCTGCTTTTTGGGAACCCCACCTGAGAAAGAGGAGCATGTCGGGACTTGGGAGCTGGTTGGCCACAGTTTCAGGAACCCACAGCAGTAAAGAGTGTGCTGGATGATGAATTTTATTCCTTCAGACAGAGGCTGGTATGCGCTAAGGATGATAGTCAGGTTGCATTTATCCACAGGAAAGGATCACTTGTGTTATTTTTTATTAGTTTTGTTAACTGGCAATCCTAAATCTCTGAATCTGAAGCAATTGTCCAACTTCCCGATTATTGGCTATGAAAGTTCATGAATTTGGAATGAGTTCTTTTTTCCCCAAATTCCAACCCGTCACTCCCGTCCTTGCTCTTCATATTTGAAGATAAGGTCACAAAGGCAGGTGTTCTTTGGTGGCTGACACTGAACATCAGTCACTCTGAGGTTGAGTTGGTGTCCTCTGCAGTGCTCTTGCGGTATCTCCTGCTTCCCCAAAGTAACACTTACCATACTCCATTGTACACGGGATTGCCCATTTTTTGCCTATTAAGTCAATGAAGACTCCAGAACTCTGAGCATATTTCAGAGCTTATGTGGCCTTCTTCCTTGTTGTTTCAGAGAAGGTGCTTACAAAATACTAATTGAAGGACCAAAATGAAAGGTTAAATGAATGAATATCAACACTGCTGAGCCAGGTCAGTTTCATATAAATGCAAATTGGTTTTCACTGTGTAATATCCTATTGATGTTTTTTTTTTTTTTGAGACAGAGCCTCAAGCTGTCCCCCTGGCTAGAGTGCTATGGCATCACAG